GGATGGCAGCCAATTCTTCTGCGGATGTGGTTTTGCCGGCGTAAGCGAGCTTGGTTCTGGCAACTTCCTGCTCGAGAGCTGCAATGCGCCTGGAATAGATCAGGTTTTGCTCCGACAGCGCCACCAGACGTCGGCGCAACCCGACGACTTCCCGTTGAAGAACTTCGATCTGGCTTTGCTCTATGCTTGACGCGACGCCACGCTGTTGGCTCCCGGGCAAGTTCATTACTGCGACAGGATTGTTGATTCCGATCGACGCCGTCGTCTCGACACTGCCGTTGTCGGGAAGGCGCATTCCGGCGGGAGCCACACCCGAAACTATTCCCGGTGAAAAGGATCCACCGCTGAACTGATAGGAAGCAACTCCGACTGTGCCCATCAGGATGGCAGCAAAAGCCCACGACAGCATACCGATCCGCGGAGACGTGAACGTGTCCCGGACAACTGCGCGTTTCGTTTTTGGGGCCTGTGGTTCAAACAAGGCGTCTTTTCCGGATCCTGATGGCGAATCTGAATAACGATACTGCATCTGAGGTTCATTATGGTTAACGAAACAAAAACGGAAATGCCCTACCGGTCAGATCTTTCAATGTTCTGTGGATCGGGGCATATAGAGGTCCGCCCGTTGGTCTTGCACGCGCACTGTTAAAGATGGAATTTTCATGACCGCACGCACTTGCCTGTCAATTGTACTTGCCGCAGGTCTGGGGACCCGGATGAAGTCGGACATGCCCAAGGTCCTTCACCAGATTGGTGGCCTGCCGATGGTGGGTCATGTTTTGAAAGCGCTCGAGGAAGCCGGGTCGGAACGCGTCTCCGTCATTACCGGTCCCGATATGCCGAATCTCGAATCTTTGGTGCATGAACTGATGCCGACGGCACATTGCCATGTCCAGGCAGAACGTCTTGGAACCGCGCATGCAACGCTTGCCGCCAAATCGGATTTGCAAGACGCGGCAGATGATGTTGTGGTGATTTTCGGCGATACACCGCTTGTCACATCCGGGACCATTTCAAAAGTACGCGGGCAATTGGCGGAAGGAGCAGATCTCGTCGTGCTCGGGTTCGAAACTCCCGAACCACTCGGGTATGGCCGTCTTCTCATCGATGATGGCAGGCTCGTTGCTATCCGCGAGGAAAGGGATGCTTCGGAAGAAGAACGGAAAACAACCTTCTGCAATTCCGGCATCATGGGATTCTCGGGCGCACATGCACTCGCCCTGATGGAAAGTGTCGGCAACAAGAATGCCAAAAACGAATTCTACCTGACCGACGCTGTCGAGATTGCAAATCAGCGAGGGTTGAAGGTTGGTGCCGTTGCCGGCTCCGAAGTGGAAACACAAGGTATCAACACCAGAGCCCAGCTGGCGTCGTGCGAGGAAGATTTCCAGAACCGGATGCGTCTTGCCGCCCTGGAAAACGGGTGCACGCTTCTGGCACCGCATACCGTGTTTTTCTCGCATGACACGATCCTCGAAACGGGTGTGACAGTCGAACAGAACGTCGTGTTCGCTCCCGGCGTGAAAGTTGCTTCTGGTGCCACTATTCGTGCCTTCAGCCATCTTGAAGGGGCAGACGTTGGAAGCGGAAGCGTTGTTGGTCCATATGCACGTTTGCGTCCCGGAGCCGTCCTTGGCGCAAAGACCAAGGTCGGCAATTTTGTTGAAGTCAAAAACGCAACCTTCGGGGAAGGGGCCAAGGCCAATCACCTCACCTATATAGGCGATGCCACCATTGGCTCCGGATCCAACATTGGCGCCGGAACGATCACCTGCAACTACGATGGATATCTCAAACACCGAACGGAGATCGGTGAGGGGTGTTTTGTCGGGTCCAACTCCACGCTGGTGGCACCGGTGCAATTGAATGCCGGCGCGTTTGTCTCTGCCGGCAGCGTCATCACGGATGATGTTCCAGGAGATGCGATGGCGTTCGGAAGATCGAGACAGATCGTCAAGGAAGGCAAGGCCGCGCAGCTGCGAAGCAGGTTGCAGAACGAAAAGGATGCGAAGTCCAGGTAAGGAGTTCGCGACCCGGTTCTGTCATTTTCTGAAACACGTATTTATTTCCATTGGAAGTGTTCCCTCGTCTAAAGGAGGGCAGTTTTCGATGATTTGAGAAGGATTTTTCAATGTGTGGCATTGTTGGTGTTCTGGGAAATATTGAAGCTGCCCCGCGCATTGTCGATTCACTGAAACGCCTGGAATATCGAGGCTATGATTCTGCCGGCGTGGCGACGCTGATCGATGGCGGCCTCGTGCGCCGAAGGGCCGAAGGCAAGTTGCGCAATCTTGAGGCCGCTTTGGAACGGTCACCACTTTCCGGAACGTCCGGCATCGGCCATACCCGTTGGGCGACCCACGGAGCTCCGACCTTGTCCAATGCGCATCCGCATCAGGCAGGATCGGTGGCACTCGTCCACAACGGTATCATTGAAAACTATCTTGAACTGCGTGACGAAGTCGTTGCCGCAGGTGCCGTGCTCAGCACCGATACCGATACGGAAGTGGTTGCACATCTGATCGACCTTGCGCGGACGAGGGGATTGTCTCCCAGGGAGGCGGTCGCGGAGACCCTTCCGCGTCTGAAGGGCGCATTTGCGCTTGCACTGCTCTTTGCTGGTGAGGACGACCTGATGATCGGTGCACGAAAGGGATCACCACTGGCTATCGGTCACGGTGAGGGAGAAATGTTCTTCGGATCGGATGCGATCGCCCTTTCTCCCTTCACCGACCGGATCACCTATCTGGATGAAGGGGACTGGGCAGTCCTGACGCGCGATGGAGTTCAGATCTTCGATCGCGACAACTCACCGGTCGAGCGTCCCGAGGCAAAATCGTCGGTCACCTCCAGCCTTATGGACAAGGGCAACTACAAGCACTTCATGGCCAAGGAAATCCATGAGCAGCCGGAAGTGCTCGGGCACACCTTGTCCCGTTATTTCGACTACACCACCAACACGGCGAACGTCGCCGGTGCAGAGAAACTCAATTTCAACAAGCTATCCCGTTTGCTTATTTCAGCTTGTGGAACGGCCTACCTTGCCGGTCTTGTCTCCAAGTACTGGTTTGAGAAATACGCCCGCCTGCCTGTCGAAATTGATATTGCCAGCGAGTTTCGCTATCGGGAGACCCCTGTGAGCGGGAATGATGCGGCGCTCTTCATTTCACAATCGGGAGAAACCGCAGATACGCTCGCTTCGTTGCGGTACTGCAAGGAGAACGGTGCAGCGATCGGTGCCGTGGTGAATGTGCCGGAAAGCACGATCGCGCGGGAGGCCGATATGGTCTATCCGACCATTGCAGGACCGGAAATCGGTGTCGCGTCGACCAAGGCCTTCACCTGTCAGCTTGCGGTGTTGGCTGCGCTTGCTCTTCAGGCCGGCAGGGAGCGCGGCGTATTGTCGGCCGAACGCGAGCAGGAACTCGTTTCGGAACTTACCGAAATTCCGAGCCTGGCCTTGAAAGCACTTGCCGCAGAAAGCGAAATCGAGAAACTGTCGCAGCCATTGTCCAAAGCGGACAATGCTCTTTATCTCGGCCGCTCGACAAACTACCCGCTTGCGCTCGAAGGTGCACTCAAGCTGAAGGAGCTCTCTTACATCCACGCGGAAGGTTACGCCGCCGGTGAGTTGAAGCACGGACCGATTGCACTGATCGACGAGAATATGCCGGTTTTTGTCATCGCACCGTATGACTCGATCTACGAAAAAACCGTCTCCAACATGCAGGAAGTGGCTGCTCGCGGCGGCAGGATCGTGCTCATCACAGATCGTAAGGGCGCGGAGGAAAGCGGCGGAGCGGCTGAAAACACGGTGATTATGCCGGACATGTCCGACATCGTGGCGCCTATTATCTATGCCTTGCCTGTGCAGCTGATTGCGTATCACACGGCTGTCTTCATGGGAACGGATGTCGACCAACCGCGCAACCTGGCAAAGTCGGTGACGGTGGAATGACAAATGTCTGTTGAAGACGAAACGGCAATCGTGCCCTTCGAGGAACAATTCCGGCAAGACGTATTGGCACTTTGGGCCAAGTGCGGGCTTGTGCGCGCCTGGAACGATCCGGGCAAGGATATCGACAGGAAACTTACCGACAGGAACGGCAGGTTTCCTGTTCTTCTTGTCGGAAAGCGTGTCGTGGGATCGGTGATGGTAAGCTATGACGGTCACAGGGGATCTGTCTATTACCTGGCGGTTGATCCCGAGTTTCAGGGGCGGGGATTTGGCAAGCAGCTGATGGAGTATTGCGAAACATTTCTGCTGGAAATCGGTTGCCCTAAAATCAATCTGTTCGTACGAAGCGACAATGAGGCCGTACTGCGTTTTTATGAGGATCTGGGGTTTTCACAGGACGCTGCGATGCCGCTTGGAAAACGCCTTATTCCGGACGATTGATCTTGTCCCTGCTGCATCTGTTGTTTGTTGGTGTGCCAGCAGCCCGACTTTCAATGCCCCAACATTAACCTGGCGATGCACCCGGGGTCTGTGCCTTGGGTCCGGAGGGGCGGGAAAGCACATAGGCCGCGCTGCCGATCATGAAGAGAGCCACGATCACGGCGAGCCAGAGAGCAGGCGAAGCGGACCAGAAGAACATTGCATATCCGAATATCATGCCCATGATCGCAATCACCTTTGCCTTGGGCTGAATGGCACCATGCTCCCGCCATGCGATCACCGGCGGACCGAATACAGGGTGATCGAGTATCTTCGCTTCAAGGGCCGGAGAGGACTTGGCAAAGCAGGCGGCGGCCATGATGAAAAAGATTGTGCTCGGAAGGAGCGGCAGAAAAGCGCCGGCGATTCCGATGCCTACACATCCGGTTCCCAGAAGTTTGAATGTGATCCGCCGCAATCCTGCCTCCGCAATCGGCATTTTTAGGGTATATCGCTGAAAAATAAGTCAAGCCAAGGATACCGCACCGAGATAAAGATAATTATCTAGTGTGTGTTACACGGTAAGACGAGTACTCAAAAGGACCCTAGTCAGGTTGCATCCATGAGCCGCAATAAACATAAATCAGATGACACGTCGATCATAGGCCATCGGCCGGGTGCGGCAACTCGCCTGCGAAACTATTTTTTGACCGGCCTCGTGATCACCGGCCCGATCGGTATCACACTCTGGTTGACCTGGACCTTTATCAAGTGGGTTGACGGCTGGGTGAAGCCCTTCGTGCCCAAGGTCTACAATCCAGAAACCTACCTGCCGTTTCCTGTACCCGGCTTCGGACTGATCGTTGCGATCTTCGTTCTGACGATCGTCGGATTCCTCGCGGCGAATTTCCTGGGGCGGAGCATGATATCTTTCGGCGAAGGTGTGGTCGGAAGAATGCCGCTTGTTCGCAATATTTACAGTGGCTTAAAGCAAATATTTGAGACAGTGCTTGATGAACGCGGAAACAGCTTCACCAAGGCGGCACTTGTCCAATATCCGCGCAAGGGGCTCTGGGCTATCGTCTTCATTTCGACGGAAACCAAAGGAGAAGTCGCAAAGCGTCTGAAAGACACGGCAAAGACAGTCTCCGTTTTCCTGCCGACGACACCCAACCCGACATCCGGCTTCCTGCTCTTCGTGCCCAAGGAAGACATCATCGAACTCAGCATGGGTGTTGAAGACGCGGCGAAACTGGTCATTTCGGCGGGTCTTGTCAGTCCTGATCTTCCGGATATCCTGGAAGATGTCATCGCCGAACCGGAAAAACTGGAAGAGATCCGGAACAGGGAGAGTGCCTGATCAATCGTGACAATCGGCTTTGAAGGTTTCTTCATCGGGTAACTGTTTTGCGAGGATATTCATTCCGTTGAGCTCAGATGCGAGATCAATCGCGTGCGCGCGGGTTCGGCAATCGATTGTCGGTCTTGCGCCCTGAAAGCATAGCTCAACTTTCTGTGCAGCGTCGGCCAGACCGCAGCCGATGGAGTTTCGGATCGCCTTGATTGCCGACAGCCTGTCAGCGCCTTTTTCAAAACCGTCCAGTTGAAGAGTTCTTCCGCCAAATCGGTGGGGATGACCGAAGTTCTTAAAGTTGCCGACGTATGTTTCAACTGAATGGGCAGTGCCCAATTCAAGGAGTTTTCCCGTTTGTCGGGCTATAAGAAACGGAGCGTTTCCCGCCAGTGACTCCATTGGGTCACCTGATTTCAAAAATGCTTCACTTTGATAGCCGAAAACCCAGCCGAAATCGCCTTCTGCCAAAGGCGCTTTGAACAAAACACATACAGGTAAATCTACATCAAGCCGTGCTACGAAATCTGCGTTGCTAGCATTCCAGGTATCAATGCGTTTTTGCGCGATTGCCCGCGCTTCATCTCTGGAAATCAATACCGGCTCCTGAAATACGATCTCAGACCAGTGTTTCACAAAAAATTCCCGACGATCAACCCGCTCTCAACAACCTGATCGCGGCATCCCTGCCGAAAAGGTAAAGCAGGCATCGAAGTGCCGCGCCGCGCTCGGACTTCAACTCCGGATCCATTTCCAGGATGAGCCTCGAGTCGTCGCGGGCGACTTCCATAAGATCGGCGTGCTCGTCCGCCCGCGCGATGCGGAAACCGGGTGTGCCTGACTGGCGGGTACCAAGGATTTCACCTCCTCCTCGCAGCTTGAGATCCTCTTCGGCAATCAGGAAGCCGTCATTGGTTTCGCGCATGATGTTGAGGCGTGCACCAGCAGTTTCGCCCAATGGACCCTTGTAGAGCAGGACACAGGATGATGGCTTGTCACCGCGCCCGACCCGTCCGCGGAGCTGGTGAAGCTGGGCAAGGCCGAAACGCTCGGCATGCTCGATGACAATGATGGTCGCGTCTGGAACGTCGACCCCGACCTCGATCACCGTTGTGGCAACAAGTACCTTTGTTTCTCCGTTTTTGAAGGCGGACATTGCACTGTCCTTCTCGTCCGCGCCCATGCGGCCATGCACCAAAGAGATGGGTTGTCTTAGCGCGTGCTCCAGAACGCGGTGTCGGTCTTCAACGGCTGCGAGGTCGATCTTTTCCGATTCCTCGACAAGCGGGCACACCCAGTAGACTTTTTGTCCCTCGGAGATAGCCGCGCCCACGCGCGCGATGATCTCGTCCAGACGGTCGAGCGACACGGAGACGGTCCTGATCGGTTTTCGTCCGGCAGGCTTTTCGGTGAGGCGGGAAACATCCATGTCGCCGAAACAGGTCAGGACGAGCGTGCGCGGAATGGGAGTTGCGGTCATCACCAGGACATCGACCCCCTGGCCCTTGCCCGAGAGGGCCAGCCGCTGGTGGACGCCAAAACGGTGCTGTTCGTCAACAGCGACCATGCCAAGGTTCTTGAACGATACAGAGCCCTGAAAAAGCGCATGGGTTCCGACCACGAGATCGACTTCCCCTGCATCCAGTCTTTCCTGGAGCAGGCGTCGTTGCTTCTGGCTGTCCTTGCCGGTCATCAGCGCGAGACGGATGCCGGCCTTCTCGCACAGCGGCGACATCGAGGCGTAGTGTTGGCGCGCAAGGATTTCGGTCGGTGCCATCAGGCCGCCCTGAGCACCTGTTTCGATCACCTGGGCCAACGCTGCAAGGGCGACAACAGTCTTTCCGGAACCGACATCGCCCTGGAGGAGCCTTAGCATCCGGGTAGGTTCTGCGAGGTCCTCGTTGATTTCCCTGATGGCATTTGACTGGCTGTCCGTCAGATGAAAGGGAAGGGCATCGATGACGCTCTGCTGCAAGGCGCCGTCCGGTTTTCGGGCGATACCGCCGAGCAGGCGCATATTGGCCCTGACCATCGCTAGCGCGAGCTGACTGGCGAGCAGCTCGTCATAGGCCAGCCGTTGCATGTAGATTGATTGCGGTTCCATGTCCTGGCGTTCTTTCGGCATGTGCAACGTCTGCAAGGCATCGCGAAAGTCCGGCCAACCAGTCTGACGCAGATGCGCATCGTTGAGCCATTCAGGAAGATTCGGAACACGTTCCAGAGCGGCGCGCATGGCTTTCTGAAGCGTTTTGGATGCAAGGCCGGCCGTCAAGGGATAGACGGGCTCGATCGAGGGCATTTCGGCGGCCTCTTCCGGCTTGAGCGAATAATCCGGGTGTACCATTTGCGGGCGGTCGTTGAACCATTCGACCTTGCCCGACACTATACGCCGCTCACCTTCGGGGAATGTCTTTTCCAGCCAGTCCCTGCGTGGATGAAAGAATACGAAACTGATCTCGCCGGTCTCGTCATGGGCCGGGATCTTGTAGGGCGCCTTGGAGTTTCTGGGTGGTGCCTGATGCCGGCCGATCGTGACATCAAGGGTGACGATGTCACCGCTTTCTGAGTAGGCAATTCCCGGCTGGTGCCGCCGGTCAATAAGATTGTGCGGTATGTGGAACAGAAGATCCGAAACCGTCGCGTCCCTCTCCGGCTGGCCACCAACCAGGCCCGAGACCAGCTTGGCGATCTTGGGTCCGATCCCGGGCAGTGTTGAGACGGGGGCAAACAGCGGGTCGAGGATCGGCGGGCGCATCTTTTCCTAAAGGACCTATCCTTTTGCAGTGCTCACTTGTTGGAACACAGTGTCTGTTTTGCCATGAAGCGAACGATCGGTGCAACAGGTAGAACAATATGTGAACAAATAACTGCATTCAAAGTCGAGAAAGCGCTGACAATCTTCTTTTGCAGCGTTATATAACCGTCACGATTTCACACCGGGTCGGCAATCTGTAGAGACACCCCGTCTCCAGTCCCTGCCGGCTCATTTTCAGATAGGCCACTCATGTCCAATCCGACAGGCAGCACAGAAGAGCCCATACAGCAAGACCGTGATCCCCGGTGCAAGCGGATACTGTTCCGCTGCTGGCACAGGGGCATGAAGGAAATGGACTTGCTTCTGGGGGGCTTCGCCAATGCTGAAATCGACCATCTTTCGGAAGATGAGCTCCTGGAACTGGAACATCTTCTGACCGCGCCCGATCAGGACCTTTATGCCTGGATGACCGGGCGCAAGCCTTTGCCGGCGGAATGGGATGGTCCGCTTTACCGACGTATCATTGCCTATCACGATGTGGCCGGCCCGGCCGGTTTCGCCAAATAACAACAGGACGTTTTGCTGTGTTTGACAGCCTGCTCAAAGACCAGACCAACGTCACGTTGGCCGGTGTTCCCGATGGTGCTGAAAGCTATGCGCTCGCCAGACTGCTTGCGGAAAGCAAGAATGACGGTCTTGCACTGGTGTTCGCGGCACGCGACGCGACCCGCATGGCCATGGTCAGCGAGGCGCTGGCGTTTTTCGAGCCCGACGTCGAGATCCTGCAATTGCCCGCCTGGGACTGTCTGCCATATGACCGGGTCTCGCCAAACCCGTCGATCAGCGCCAGGCGATTGCTGGCGCTCGGTATGCTGGCGCGTGGAATTCAGGGCGGCCGAAAGACGGTCCTGATGACAACGCTGAATGCTGCGGTTCAGCGGATGCCGGAGCGCGGGTTCATGGCCGAACAGACATTTTCGATGGCGCCCGGCAACCAGGTCGACATGACAGCTGTTTCCGGCTGGATGGAAATGAACGGGTTCTCCCGTACGCCGACGGTCCGGGAAACGGGTGAATATGCGGTGCGCGGCGGCATCATCGACCTGTATGCGCCGGGATCCGAAGAACCGGTCCGACTCGATTTCTTTGGCGATACGCTGGAATCAATTCGCTCTTTCAATGCCGAAACACAACGTACGTCGAAGCAGCTCAAGCGGCTTGATCTTGTTCCGATGAGTGAAGTTGTACTTTCAGACGAGGCAATCTCAAGATACCGCCGGTCATATCTTGCAAGCTTTGGCGCGACCAGCCGTGATGATGTGCTCTATCAGTCGATCAGTGACGGTCGGCGATACGCGGGCATGGAACACTGGTTGCCGTTGTTCCACGAACGACTTGAAACGCTTTTCGACTATATCGGCGATACGCCCATCGTTCTCGACACAAACGCAGCGGACGCTGTTCGCGAGCGTACAGAGCAGATTGCGGAGCACTACAAGGCGCGTCAGGACGCACGGGAATTGGGGACCAGTTCCGGCACTGTGCCCTACATGCCGATCGAGCCCGAGAGACTTTACCTTTCAGAAGGCGAATGGGTGTCCGCGATTGCGGATCGGGCCAGCGCGGCGCTCGATCCATTCACGCCACCGCCCGGAACCGGCAAGATCGTTATTGAGCTGGCAGGCAGGCAGGGCCGCAGTTTCACCGCGGAACGTGCTGCAGGAGACGTCAATATTTTCGACGCCCTGACAACGCATGTGCGCGATCTTCAGTCTGAAGGCAAACGAACGGTGATCGCCTGCTGGTCAGACGGGTCTCGCGACCGTCTGGGACAGATCCTGAGCGATCACGGCCTCGGTTCCGTGCAGGAGGTCGACACGCTGAGGGAAGCGGAACAGCTTCCAGACAAAACCTCCGCATTGTGTGTGCTGGGCATCGAACACGGTTTCGAGCTGAAAGAGATTGCCTTTGTCGGCGAACAGGACATTCTCGGCGACCGATTGGTGCGCAAGTCCCGCCGCAAGTCCAAGGGTGCAAATATCATCACGGAGGCCACAGGCCTCTCCGAAGGGGACCTTGTTGTCCATGTCGAACACGGCATAGGCAGGTTCGTCGGGCTGAAGACCATCGAGGCCGTGGGGGCGCCGCACGATTGCCTGGAACTGCAATATGCGGGTGGTGACAAGCTCTACCTTCCGGTGGAAAACATCGAACTTCTGTCGCGCTACGGCTCGGAAGATCAGGAAGCCCAGCTGGACAAGCTCGGTGGTGGCGCCTGGCAGGCGCGGAAGGCGAAGCTCAAGAAACGTATTCTCGAAATCGCCGACGGCCTCATCAAGACGGCCGCCGCGCGCGCCCTGAAGACCGCGCCCGTGGTCGAAACGCCGGACGGGGTTTATGACGAATTCGCGACGCGATTTCCCTACGAGGAAACCGACGATCAGCTTACCGCCATCGATTCGGTCTTTGACGACCTGGCCTCCGGCCGGCCGATGGACCGCCTGATCTGCGGCGACGTCGGTTTCGGCAAGACGGAGGTGGCGCTGCGTGCGGCGTTCCTCGCCGCAATGTCGGGACGCCAGGTCGCTGTTGTTGTTCCAACGACGTTGCTTGCGCGTCAGCATTACAAGACCTTCTGTGAACGTTTTCACGGCCTTCCGATCAATATCGGTCACGCGTCAAGACTTGTGCCGACGAGGCAGCTGACCCAGACCAAGAAGGGCATCGCCGACGGATCAATCGATATCGTGGTCGGAACGCATGCGCTTTTGGGGAAGTCGATCCAGTTCCGCGATCTCGGGCTCCTGATTATCGACGAAGAGCAGCATTTCGGGGTCAAGCACAAGGAACGGCTGAAGGAACTGAAGTCGGACGTCCATGTGATGACGCTTTCAGCGACACCGATCCCGCGTACGCTGCAGCTGGCGCTGACCGGTGTCCGTGAGCTATCGCTTATCGCAACACCGCCGGTCGACAGACTTGCGGTACGGACCTTCGTGTCGCCCTTCGATCCGCTGGTTGTGCGCGAAGCTCTGCTTCGGGAGCACTATCGCGGTGGGCAGAGCTTTTACGTTTGTCCGAGGCTCTCGGATATTGCCGACCGGCTTGCATTCCTGGAAGAGCAGGTACCTGAGCTGAAGGTTGCTGTAGCTCATGGCCAGATGCCACCGGGTGAGCTTGAAGACGTGATGAACGCCTTTTACGAGGGCAAATACAACGTTCTCCTGTCCACCACGATTGTCGAATCGGGACTGGACATTCCGACCGCGAACACGCTGATCGTTCACCGCGCGGACATGTTCGGTCTTGCACAGCTCTACCAGTTGCGCGGCCGTGTCGGCCGCTCAAAGACCAGGGCCTATGCGCTCTTTACGGTCCCGGCCAACAAAACGCTGACGGCAACAGCGGAACGGCGCCTGAAAGTCCTGCAGTCGCTCGAAACGCTTGGCGCCGGTTTTCAGCTTGCCAGCCACGATCTGGATATTCGCGGGGCAGGGAACCTGCTCGGTGAAGAGCAGTCAGGGCATATCAAGGAAGTCGGATTCGAACTTTATCAGCAGATGCTGGAAGAGGCGGTGGCGCAGCTCAAGGATGGCGGTGCCGATTTCGGCGAGGAGCAATGGTCGCCGCAGATCAACATCGGCACGCCTGTGCTCATACCGGACGACTACGTCGCCGACCTGCAATTGCGCCTGCAACTCTACCGACGGCTGGGCGATGTCACGGAGGCCGAGGAAATCGATGCTTTCGGTGCGGAACTGATCGACCGGTTCGGCCCGTTGCCCGAAGAGGTCCAGCACCTGTTGAAGATCGTCTATATCAAGGGGCTGTGCCGCAAGGCGAATGTGGAGAAGGTGGATGCGGGGCCGAAAGGCATCGTCGTTGCTTTCCGTAACAGCGAGTTTGCCAATCCGGCCGGTCTCGTCTCCTATATCGCCGAGCAGGGGGTTCTTGCCAAGATCCGTCCGGATCAGCGTGTTGTGCTGACCCGGGACTGGGAAAAGACAGATTCGCGGCTTAAGGGCACGGCCACAATCTTGACGAAGCTGTCGAAACTGGCAGCTGCGTAGGACGAAAAAGTCCTTTGATTCTTGAACCCACTAGATTTGGTTTTTCGTAAGTTGTGTCGTTGACTGCCTGCCAACGGAAGTTTGGTGCTCAAACACTCGCAGGTTCAAATGAGATTCGAAATTATTGAAATTAACATTGAAATTCCTGTCAGTTTCATCGCGTTGCGAAGTTCATTGTCGGTGGCGTTTGATGTTGAACAAAACAAGATTTTGGAAATCACAAAATACTGGTGCCTGGAAAATACCGCCGGCTATTTGGGTGTTGAGTTGATGCAAGGCGAACGACCGTTTCAGACGTTTGCAGTGGTGAATGCAGAGCCCGCTTTGGAAAGAAACGTGAATTCGGTTGGGCAAGTGTTGGCCAAAGAACTATCGTGTAAAGTCACACTGCCGCACCCATACGATGAAGCCGAACGAGACCGAGATTCAAGTAAATTACTAATATTCCATCCTGATGGGAGAAGATTTGTAGGTTACGGAGATCAAATCGAGAGAGATTTCGAAATCATTTTGATTTCGGAAGTTAAATATTATGAGAAGTAACATTCCCCTTGCTTCTGCATTACTCAATGACTGCTTTTGACGACGCCTTTCCAAGCAATACAAAGTGCAGTCAATGCGGAGCATTGTCGTTTGAGCGATCGATGCTAGACCCAAGTATAAGTGCTTTTTGGGTGCGAATTCCCAAAGATGAATGGGAACTTACCAACCCATCTCACCAATCAGCGGCACAAAAGCGACACCGCCGAGGTTTTCCGTTTCGAACGAGGTTTCCGAAGTTCTCCTGATCCGGAGAAGGTCCTGACGGGATTGTGTGGTGCCGACTGGAATAACCAGGCGGCCGCCTGGTTTGAGTTGCTGCATTAGCGAATCCGGTGTCGTTGGGGCGCCGGCCGAGACAAGGATTGCATCATAAGGTGCTTGATCAGGAATACCCAGGCTGCCATCGCCGCAATGGACTTCTACGTTCGGAACGTCGGCCTCGACAAGTGTAGACCTTGCCTTGTTCGCGAGTTCCGGAATGCGCTCGACAGTGACTACCTTCTCGCACAATTGGGAAAGAACAGCGGCTGCATAGCCGGATCCGGTCCCGATCTCCAACGCTGTGTCGGTTTCAGAGAGCTGTAACAGTTCGCACATCAGGGCAACGACGTACGGCTGGGAGATTGTCTGGTAATGGCCGATGGCCAGCGGCATGTCACGGTAGGCATGATCCTGCAGCCGTTGAGAAACAAACCGGTGCCGGGGAACCTTGCGCATTGCAGCCAGAATTCTCTTATCTCGAATACCACGACCTTCAAGCTGACGCAGAACCATGTTTTCCCTGTTTTCTGCAAATCGGTCCATGCCCGTGCCTCAAGCCATCGTGGATATTGCGTGCAATTGAAGGGCTGCTTCAAGACTCTATTAAGCCTAACTCCGCATAGTGGTGAAACGAAGAGGCCATGAGTTCAGCGTTAAGGTCCCATAGAGTGCCCAGAGCAGCTACCCGTCAGCGAAAACAATCCTTCATTCGCCGCCTTGTCACGCCTGCAATCGCGATTGCCGCGTTGGGGTATTTCGGCTTCCATGCCATGAGCGGTGAACTCGGTATGGTCGGGCGAGCTATGATCGAACGTCAGGTGTCCGAACTGGAATCAGAGCTTGAGCTTCTGACGGCTGAGCGACAGGAGCTCGTCGCTCGTGTTGGACTGCTGCGACCCGAAAGCCTCGATCCGGATATGCTTGATGAACGTGCCCGGCTCAATCTCAACCTCGTGCATACCAACGAACTCGTCGTGCTTCGTCCCGGGCATCGCTACAACGTAAACTGAAAAACAGTTTATTTCTTGAGATTAACAATAATATAGTTAAACACTATTTTTGTTATTTTTTACAGATATTTAAATCGCTTCAACTCCCCATATTGAATAGATTGGATTGACAGGCGCAACAGGATAAGTTGCAGCTACCTGTCTTAGGGGAAACGTCACGCCGAGAAGAGGGTTATGGCCACAGCATCAAAGACCACTCCCGCTCGCTCCAAGAGCGCCAGCCGGACCCGCAGCTCCGCCAAGAAAGCGAAGCCTGCAATCGCCGAGTTCGACAAGGACGAAGAACTCCACGCTTACCGCGAAATGCTTCTGATCCGCAGATTTGAGGAAAAAGCCGGCCAATTGTACGGCATGGGCCTCATCGGCGGGTTCTGTCACCTTTATATCGGGCAGGAAGCTGTCGTCGTCGGTATGCAGATGGCAAAGAAAGACGGGGATCAGATGATCACCGGCTACCGTGACCATGGCCACATGCTGGCGATGGATCTGGAACCGAGTGCCGTCATGGCGGAACTCACCGGACGGCGAGGCGGCCTTTCCAAAGGCAAGGGCGGCTCGATGCACATGTTCTCCAAGGAGAAGCATTTCTACGGTGGTCACGGTATCGTCGGTGCGCAGGTTTCGCTTGGAACCGGACTTGGTTTTGCCAACAAGTATCGTGAAAACGGAAATGTCTCGATGGCTTTCTTCGGCGATGGTGCTTCCAACCAGGGGCAGGTCTATGAGAGCTTCAACATGGCTGAACTGTGGAAGCTGCCGGTTGTCTACGTGATCGAGAACAACAAATACGGCATGGGCACAAGCATCAGCCGTGCTTCTGCAACAACCGATCTCTCCCAACGCGGCGCGTCCTTCGGTATTCCGGGCGAGCAGGTTGACGGCATGGATGTGCGCGCCGTCAAGGCGGCCTCCGAAAAGGCGCTGGCCTGGTGCCGGAACGGCAAGGGTCCCTACATCCTGGAGATGATCACCTACCGCTACAGGGGACACTCCATGTCCGACCCGGCGAAGTACCGCTCCAAGGACGAGGTCCAGAAGATGCGAACCGAGCACGACCCGATCGAGCAGGTCCGCAGCCGTCTGATTGAAAAAGGCTGGGCAAGCGAGGACGACCTGAAGGCCATCGACAAGGATGTGCGTGCCCGGGTCGCCGAAGCAGCGGAATTTGCTCAGAACGATCCGGAACCGGATGCGTCTGAACTCTACACTGATATCTTGCTGTAACGCCGGGGGACAATATGCCGATTGATATTTTGATGCCGGCGCTCTCGCCGACAATGGAAGAGGGCAAGCTTGCCAAATGGCTCAAGGCCGAGGGCGATGCTGTTACTGCTGGCGATGTGATTGCCGAAATCGAAACCGACAAGGCGACGATGGAAGTCGAAGCGGTTGACGAGGGAACTCTTGGAAAGATCCTGGTTCCGGAAGGAACGGACAACGTCAAGGTAAATGAGAAGATTGCCGTTCTCATCGGTGAAGACGAAGACGCGAGCGCAATCGATGCGTCAGCCTCTGCACCGGTCGCGGCTCCAGCCCCGGCGGCAGAGCCGAGTGCGCCGGCGGCGTCTGCTGTTCCAGCCGCGCCTGTCGTCTCTGAACCTGCGGAAGATCCGGAAATCCCGGCCGGAACACAGATGAAAAGCTCTACCGTGCGTGAAGCATTGCGTGATGCGATGGCTGAAGAAATGCGCCGTGATCCGGACGTTTTCGTCATGGGTGAGGAAGTCGCCGAATACCAAGGTGCCTACAAGATCACCCAGGGCCTGCTCGACGAGTTCAGCGCCAAGCGAGTGATTGACACGCCCATCACCGAGCATGGATTTACCGGCCTCGGTGTCGGCGCCGCTATGGCGGGACTGAAACCGATCGTCGAGTTCATGACGTTCAACTTCGCCATGCAGGCAATCGACCAGATCATCAATTCGGCCGCCAAGACGCTTTACATGTCCGGTGGCCAGATGGGTGCTCCGATCGTCTTCCGGGGAGCCAATGGCGCGGCCGCCCGCGTGGGTGCGCAGCATTCGCAGGACTATGCGTCCTGGTATGCAAACGTGCCCGGACTGAAGGTGATACAGCCCTATTCCGCAGCCGACGCCAAGGGTTTGCTCAAGGCAGCCATCCGTGACCCGAACCCGGTCATCTTCCTGGAAAACGAGATTCTTTACGGACACTCGTTCGAAATTCCGGATATGGACGACTTCGTCCTGCCGATCGGCAAGGCGAAGATCGAGCGCGGTGGCACCGATGTCACGCTGGTGTCCTGGGGTATCGGCATGACCTACACGTTGCAGGCCGCGGACGAACTGGCCGGCATGGGGATCTCTGCCGAGGTCATCAACCTGCGCACTATTCGTCCGCTCGACATCGAAACGGTTCTCGCCTCTGTTCGCAAGACGGGCCGGGTCGTGACGATCGAGGAAGCCTTCCCGATGTGCTCTGTTTCTTCGGAAATCGCCTATCAGGTCCAGGAACAGGCATTCGACTATCTCGATGCGCCCATCATGCGCGTCACAGGCAAGGACGTTCCGATGCCCTATGCGGCCAATCTCGAGAAGCTCGCGTTGCCGAGCGTTTCGCAAGTCATCGAAACGGTCAAGGCCGTGACCTACACAGCCTGAGGCGAGGGAGACGGATATGCCAATTAATATCACCATGCCGGCCCTTTCTCCGACCATGGAAGAGGGCAACCTGGCCAAATGGCTGGTCAAGGAAGGCGATCAGGTTTCGTCCGGCGATGTCATCGCCGAAATCGAAACCGACAAGGCAACGATGGAAGTCGAAGCGGTTGACGAAGGCACGGTCGGAAAGATCGTCGTGCCGGAGGGCACCGAAGGCGTCAAGGTCAATGAGCTGATTGCCGTGCTTCTTGAAGACGGCGAGGATGCCGGTTCCATTAATACGTCCGCTGGTAGTGCGGCTCCAGCACCAGCGGCCGCCGAGGTGCCGGCAGCAGCGGCATCTACTGCTGCTCCGGCAACACCGGCGCCGGCAGGCCCAGCGCCCGTCGCCGCCGATGGTGCCCGTATCTTTGCATCGCCCCTTGCACGGCGTCTGGCGAAGTTGAACAGTCTTGATCTCAAGGCACTGTCAGGCACCGGTCCACATGGCCGGATCGTCAAACGGGACATTGAAACCGCCATTGCCGCAGGCACCGGGAAAGCTGCCCCTGCAGCCGAAGCTCCAAAGGCTGCCGCTGCGCCTGCACCGGCAACCGGGCCGTCCGCAGATCAGGTTCTCAAGCTCTTCGACGAGGATTCCTACGAGCTCGTGCCGCATGACGGTATGCGCAAGACGATCGCCAAACGCCTGACGGAGTCCAAGCAGACAATTCCGCATTTCTATGTTTCCGTGGATGTGGAACTGGATGCGCTCCTGTCATTGCGCGCTCAGCTCAATGGTGCCGCGGCAACGGACAAAGAAGGCAAGCCCGCCTACAAGCTTTCGGTCAACGACATGACCATCAAGGCCCTTGCCCTGGCGTTGCGTGATGTTCCCAATGCAAATGTCTCCTGGACCGACGAAAACATGGTCATGCACAAGCATGCCGATGTCGGTGTCGCAGTCTCGATCCCGGGCGGCTTGATCACTCCGATCATTCGCGCGGCGGAAGAAAAACCTTTGTCCGTCATTTCCAACCAGATGAAAGATCTCGGCAAACGGGCAAAGGAACGCAAGCTGAAGCCGGAAGAGTACCAGGGCGGTACGACTGCGGTTTCAAACATGGGCATGATGGGCGTGAAAGACTTCTCGGCCGTCGTCAACCCGCCGCATGCGACGATCCTGGCGGTCGGCGCTGGTGAGAAGCGACCCGTTGTCAAGAACGACGCCCTGGCGGTTGCGACTGTCATGACGGTGACGCTGTCAACCGATCATCGCTGTGTTGACGGTGCCCTGGGGGCGGAATTGCTCGCAGCGTTCAAGGGCTACATTGAAAACCCGATGAGCATGCTGGTTTGATCCATGCTCTCCGGCGCGGCGGCAACGCCGCGCCGTTTTTGAGTGATGACTTCTTCTTTCGCCGGGGAAAACACCATGGCTGATACAAACTACGATGTGATCATCATCGGCTCCGGGCCGGGTGGTTACGTGACTGCAATCCGTGCCGCACAACTCGGTCTCAAGACAGCGATCGTCGAACGCGAGCATATGGGGGGCATCTGCCTCAACTGGGGCTGTATTCCAACCAAGGCTCTGCTGCGGTCCGCTGAAATCTACCACTACATGCAGCACGCCAAGGACTATGGCCTGTCTGCCGAAAAGATCTCCTTTGATCCCGCCGCAGTCGTCAAGCGCTCACGCGGCGTCTCCGGCCAGCTGAATGCCGGTATCGGCTTCCTGATGAAGAAGAACAAGGTCGACGTGATCTGGGGCGAAGGCAAGGTGTCGAAAGCCGGTGAGGTCACCGTTTCCAAAACGTCCAAGAAGGCAATGGAACCTCAACATCCTGTGCCGAAAGGAACGAAGGGTGAGGGCGTTTACAAAGCGAAGCACATCATTGTGGCGACCGGCGCCCGCCCGAGGGTCATTCCGGGGATCGAACCCGATGGCAAGGACATCTGGACGTATTTTGAGGCAATGGTGCCACCAGCAATGCCTAAGTCCCTGATTGTCATGGGGTCGGGTGCCATCGGTATCGAATTTGCGTCTTTCTACAAGACCATGGGCGCCGATGTGACGGTCATCGAGATGATGCCGACGATCATGCCGGTTGAAGACCCGGAAATCTCTGCTCTTGCCAAGAAGCAGATGGAAAAACAGGGCCTCAAGTTCCTGCTCGAGGCCAAGGTGTCTCAAGTCAGGAAGGTGGCAAATGGCGTAACTGCGACCGTGGAGACCAAGGACGGCAAGAAACAGGACCTGACGGCCGACAAACTGATTTCAGCTGTCGGTGTGGTCGGCAATATTGAAAACCTCGGGCTCGAGGAACTCGGCGTGAAAACCGACCGGGGCTGCGTTGTGATCGATGGATATGGACGCACCAGCGTTCCAGGAATTTACGCCATAGGTGATGTCGCCGGGCCGCCGATGCTTGCGCACAAGGCTGAGCACGAGGGTGTCATCTGCGTCGAAAAGATCGCCGGCAAGGACGTTCATGCCATGGACAAGTCCATGATCCCGGGATGCACCTATTGCCATCCGCAGGTGGCTTCTGTCGGTTTGACGGAGCCAAAGGCGAAAGAAGCCGGATACGACATCAAGGTGGGCCGTTTCCCGTTCATCGGCAATGGCAAGGCGATTGCGCTTGGTGAACCGGAAGGGCTCGTGAAAACGATTTTTGACGCCAAGACCGGACAACTGCTTGGCGCACACATGGTCGGCACTGAAGTCACCGAACTCATCCAGGGTTATGTCGTTGCAATGAACCTTGAAACCACGGAAGAAGACCTGATGCACACGGTCTTCCCGCATCCGACACTGTCGGAGATGATGAAGGAGTCCGTGCTGGACGCCTATGGCCGTGCACTGAACATGTGACAAGGATGTGCGGGTTGTCCCGACTTGGCAAGTCGGGGCAACCTTGCTCTTTCACGGAGGTGTTCACGTGTTCAACTATCTCCTCGATGGACTCAAGTTCGTAACTTTTGAGGGGAGCTGGTCGCTCAAACCGCACGAAGCGATGACGCTTGAGGCGGCATTGAACTGGATGCCGGCCGATATGGCTGATCTCGCACGCAAACAACTTTCCCAACGCTTTTTCGTCGAACGTCAATCGCATGGCCGCATACCTTGCTTTCGATTTTATCGGATGGATACCGGTCTGCGATTCAACGGGCGCTTCAGGGATGGTGACCACTTCATCGATGTGAAGCTGAGGACAGGCAAACGCAAGGTGACGGCCAAATGCGTCTTGCATGAAGGCACCGTTTTTGGGCTCGAATTTTCAAAGCCGAGCAGTTTTTTCAAGAATATGACGGTCGAAGTAGCCTCCGTGAGTTGTGAAGAGTCTTCCTTTAGCTACACTGATGTTCTCAATAGGGCCGAGCATGGTCCTGATTAGGAAGACGGAACGAGAGGGGGAAATGTCATGGATGCAAAGGCAATTCTGATCTGGGTCGCTATCGGAATAATCGCCGGGTGGCTGGCGAGTTTCCTCGTTGGCGGTGGTGGCATTATTCGCTACCTGCTCACAGGCGTTATCGGTGCATTTGTTGGCGGGTTCATTTTCAAGTTCGCCGGCATCAACATCAACCTCGGCAATGCATATGTGAATGAAATCGTGGTTGCCGCGATCGGAGCGGTTGTCGTTGTACTGATCGCCAGGTTTCTGGGTTAAGTTCCGCACTTGCGCTTCTTTCCCGCTTGAACCAAAATTTTGGCAACGCGTTCGCGCAAAACGCGGAACGCCTTGCCGAATTGATTGCGGATGAACCTGCCTTCATCGAGGAGACGTTGATTTGGCAGTCTTTGTTGTTGGGTCAAACAGGGCCGGGCGGCACGGAAAGGGCGCTGCACTCTACGCAAAAAAGCACTTCGGTGCGCAACAAGGAGTTGGCGAGGGGCGGACGGGAGACGCATATGCGTTCCCGACGAAGGGGGAACGCCTTGAACTTCTGGAATGGCATCAGATAGAGCCCTCAATCGAGCGCTTCGTTGAATATGCGCGCACACATCCCCATGTCACGTTTCACCTGACGCCAGTCGGAACGGAGTTGGCAGGGCACTCGACCGAAAAACTCCGGGTGACGTTGAAGCGCTTGGGGATACCGAACAACATTCTTCTGACTGCGTCCTGGGTCAATGATTCCTGAGAGGAAATAGGTATGGGGCTGATAATTTCAGCAATAATAGGCCTGATCGCCGGAGCGGTTGCGCATCGTGTCCTGAACAGCCGCGGCGGTTTTCTGGGGAGCCTCGTGGTCGGATTGATCGGCGCCCTCATTGGTGGTGAGCTGGCTTCAATCCTCAACCTCAATCTGGCCGGAGGCATGATTGACAGGTTGATCGTCGCTATCGTCGGTTCAGTCTTGTTTCTGTTTGTCTGGAAAAAGGTATTCAAGTGACAATATCGACGAAACAAACAAACAGGTATCGGGGGCAAGACGATTGAGTTGTCCCCCTATTGTCGGAAACTGCCCGTCGACTGTTGGCGGACCTCCTCAGACCTTCGCAGATCTGCACTCAACACATAGCAGTCTCAACGCCTTTATGGCTTGACCTTTCAACGGAATAACGACACTTAAGGCGCATGGTTACGATCGTCGACACGCTCAATCGCCCGCAGCAGGAAACGGCTGCCCGTCCGCGCCATCCGGAAAAGGCTCATCGGCCTGACAATCCAATCCAGCGCAAGCCAAAATGGATCCGCGTCAAGGCGCCGACGTCACAGGTTTATCGCGAAACGAAAGACGTTGTGCGCGACAACAACCTCGTGACTGTTTGTGAAGAAGCCGGTTGCCCCAATATCGGCGAGTGCTGGTCAAAGAAGCATGCGAGCTTCATGATCCTTGGGGATACCTGCACGCGGGCCTGCGCCTTCTGCAATGTTAAGACAGGGATGCCCGGACCGGTTGATCACAACGAGGCGCAAGGTGTTGCTGATGCCGTGGCGACCATGGGTCTGGAACATGTCGTTATCACCTCCGTCGATCGTGACGATCTGGAAGACGGCGGCGCCCGACACTTCGCCAATGTGATCGCCGCGATCCGTAAAACCGCGCCGCAGACGACAGTCGAAGTTCTGACACCGGATTTCCTGCGCAAGGAAGGTGCCCTGGAAATTGTGGCGGCCGCGAAACCGGATGTCTTCAACCACAATCTCGAGACAGTCCCTTCGAAATATCTGACCGTCCGGCCAGGCGCACGGTATTTTCATTCCATTCGTCTTCTCCAGAAGGTGAAGGAGCTTGATCCGGAGATGTTTACAAAGTCCGGTATCATGGTCGGGCTTGGCGAGGTTCGAAACGAGGTTCTGCAATTGATGGATGACTTGCGTGCTGCAGACGTGGACTTCCTTACGATTGGTCAATACCTGCAACCTTCAAGGAAACATCATCCGGTCTTGTCGTTCGTAACGCCGGACGAGTTCAAGGCTTATGAGCGGATTGCGTACGCAAAGGGTTTTCTGAAAGTGTCGGCCAGCCCGTTGACGCGGTCCTCACATCATGCGGGTGAGGATTTTGCGGACCTGCGGGCTGCCCGGAAAGCCAAACTCGGTCATTGAAGACACTTACTGAACGGAACCGGTTAAAACTGCATGCCGAGTTTTTCTTCCACTCACAGGGTCAATCACAACGCCGAGGACATGTTCCGTCTTGTCGCTGATGTCGAGCAATACCCCCAGTTCGTGCCGCTCTGCCAGGGGCTGCATGTGCGGGGCCGTAAAGAGATGGAAGATGGCCGCACGGTGCTTGTCGCCGACATGACGGTTGCTTACAAGCTGTTCAAGGAAACCTTCACGAGCCGCGTAGAATTGCGTCCCGAGGACCGTTCGATTCTCGTTGAGTACCTGGATGGCCCCTTCAAGCACCTGGAAAACAAATGGACTTTTGAAGACAAGGGTGAAGGGAGCTGCGATGTCGGCTTTTTCATTACCTACGAATTCAAAAGCAGAACGCTCGGATCCCTGATGGGTGTCATGTTCGACAAGGCGTTCCGGAAATTTTCCAGCGCGTTCGAGGCGCGTGCCGACGATGTTTATGGCACCTGACGCGAACTCCTGACAGTGCTTACTTGAACTGCTTGAATGCGTCGCGGATTGTACGCAGCCGACTGGATTTCATATCGAGCGGCTCATTTGCACGCCGAATTTTCGCGACTTCCCGCCTGGAAAGGCCTAGGTCGTCAAGCGTCGCAAAGGCTGCGTTGTCCGAGCAGACGATGGTTCTGCTGGAGCCGTCGTTTTCTTCCAGAACGAGGGTTTGGCCCGCAGCGTTCTGCTCTTCGGTCCAGATCACTGTGGTGGAGGATACCCAGAAAACCCGGTCGCAGTAGCTTACCTGGTGGTAACCGGGTTCCGGCTCGGTCAGAATTTCATGAAACCCGGTGAATTTCCCGTTGGAAAACTGGGAACGGATGTAAAAATCACTTTGACCGAATGCAGTGCTCGTAAAAGCGGAGCCGGTTACCAACGCAACTATCAGACATGCCACAGAGTGTTTCATGCTCGAATTCCCTCTACGAGCCCGGTTTCACCCCCAACAAGCTTGATTATGCATTTATTAACTTACTCGATCGTTACCGGCTCATCGACAATTCGACTTACTCGTCATGGAACGACTGTGCAGCGTTTTCCGTTCCCTTCGGATTGAATGCTTTTCGGATCGCCGCAAAACGCTTGACCTTGTCGACGGTCGGCCCGTCGTTTTGGATAACGACCCGCGGATCTTCAGTAATGCCAAGATCTCTCAGCGTGACCTGTTCTTCCGGATGGCTGCAAATGGGACGCCAGCCTTTGCCCCGGTTAAACTCCACGCGCACAACAAAACTTTGCTCTACTTCCAGCTGTGTCCACGCGACAGTCGCGGCACGCACCCAATAGGATCGGTTGCAATATTCGACTTCAACCAATCCGTCGGCTTGCCTTGTGTAAATCCTGTGTGACCCTCGAAAAATCCGGTTGTCGTCCCGCGAGATAATATAGATATCGCCAATTTTCGGGATTGCGCTCTGTGCGATGGCACCGGAGGCAGAAGCAACGAGAATTGCTGTCGTGAACAATAGTTTTTGAAACCACATGATTAGCTATCCCTATCGCGAAATCCGTTCGCGTCATTGCTTTGTCCAACGAGAATTTTTGTCTTGTTTGCTTGAAAATAAAATGGGTTCTTGTAGATCAGATTGAGAGTGGACAGGGCGTTTTATTAAAAGTTTAAAATACCAGGAGTTACGTCTTCCCAGGTTCGGATCTGGCATCGACCAGACTCAGTGGCTGTGGAAGCTTCCGTCAGATTTATCTGTGGTTTCTGCGCGAAAAATTGCGCCGATTGCTGCAAGGCGGTTGATCGGTGGTTCGCCTTCTTCAAGGCTCGCAAGATATTCGCGGGCGCTCAGTTTAACTCCGATGTCAGTGAGTGTGACCTGGCGCTCGGGGTTTGCGCAGATAGGACGCCAACCGCGACCGAAATTGAACTCGACGTGAACCGTATTGCCGCGTTCGACCTCGATCTGTGTCCAGGCAATCGAATTGCCGCGCACGAAGTATCGACGGGAACAGTAAGCCAAGAGATGGGTCTCGGCGGCGCGTTCCTTGAACAGTTTGTGGCTGCCGAGAAACTTGCCATCCGGATCTCTGGAGATCAGGTAATAGTCGCCCGGTTGCGGTATCGTCTCGGCAAGTGCCGATGTGGCCAGGCTCAAGACGGCAAAAAGGATCGCTATACGGGTTTTCATTTGCAGGATCTGTCCGGGAAAAGTTGTCGCCCAATCTTCGTGGACTATACTCTGTCACAGGATCAGAACCCAGCAAGAATGCGAGGGAGCGTTAATAAGTGCTTTCAGAATCAAGCGAATTTAGAACTGACGTAAGTGCAGTCTGCACTGTCTCAAGACGAATTGCCTGTCGACCGCGATCAGCAAACCAACAGTGAAGGTGCCGGGTGGACCCATCACGTGTTGCGATTGCAATGTGAACCGTACCGACCGGCTTTTCGTGTGAACCGCCTCCTGGACCCGCAATGCCCGTGACTGAAACAGCAATGTCCGCACGGGAGCGGGACAGCGCTCCTTCTGCCATTGCAACGGCAACTTCCTTGCTGACGGCACCCATGGTTGATATGAGATTTGCCGGGATGCCCAAAAGTTCCGTTTTTGCTTCGTTTGAATAGGTGACAAAGCCCCTGTCGACCACAGCCGATGACCCGGCTACTTCGGTCAGGGTCCCGGAAATAAGGCCTCCCGTGCATGATTCTGCTGTTGCAATCATTTTGTCCCTGGACTTCAGCTCGTCCAGAACCCTGACAGCAAGAGGTGCAAGGTCATCCAATCCAGTCAGTGTTTTTTCAGTCATCTTGGGGTTGCTCGTTTTCGTCGAAAGGCAGACGTACCGTAACACTTGCAAGAGCGGCAATCCCCTCTCTGCGGCCCGTGAACCCCAGTTTTTCAGAGGTCGTGGCCTTTACTGAAACGCGGGACACGGGAATGTCGCAGATCCGGGCCAACGATTCACGGATCTCGCTTCTATATGGTCCAATCTTCGGTTCCTCGCAGACGATTGTCACATCCACATGCGCAAGTCTTCCGCCGAGCTTGTTCACTCTGCATAGCGCATCGCGTTGAAAAATGTCTGACGAGGCGCCTTTCCATTGCGGATCACTTGGAGGAAAGTGGCTGCCGATGTCGCCCTCACCAATGGCGCCAAGTGTTGCATCTGTAACCGCGTGCAGCACAACGTCGGCGTCGGAATGTCCCTTCAGTTTCCGTGTGTGAGGAATGCTCGCGCCAGCGAGTATGACTGCATCCCCTTTGTCGAATGCATGCACGTCATAGCCGATGCCTGTGCGTACATCCTGGAGTTCAGACAGTGGCCTGATTGAACTGGTCCTGATTGCCATTGAATATTGTCTTGCCTGCTGTTCTGCGCGTTTGAGATCACGTGCTGTTGTAATCTTGAAGTTTTGCGGGTCGCCCTCGCTGAGTAGAACGGTTTCCCCGGCCCATTCCGCGAGACTGGTATCGTCCGTGAACTCCGTCTTTCCTTCCTCGGCGGCTTTCAGGTGCGCAGTCAGAATTTTCTCCAGCGGAAAAGCCTGAGGTGTCTGGGCCGCCCATAAGCCGTTTCTGTCAATTGTTTCAAGCGGAGTGTCGGGTGCAACTGTCTTTTTGAGAGTATCGGCAATCGGTACAGCGGCAAGCACCCCGTCTGCACCGTCATCAAGCGATGACAGGATCGCGTCGACAACAACGGGTGAAACAAACGGGCGTGCGGCATCATGAATGAGAACGAAATCGCATCCGGTCTCGCCAAGGGTCTTCAGGCCTTTCAATACAGATTGCTGGCGGGTCTTCCCACCATAGGCAAAGGGCCGCAGCTTTGCGGACGTTTCAGGCGCCGACACTTCGACAGCCGCTTCATAGAGCGCTACGTCGTCCGGATGAATGACGGTCAGGACAACGGAAATTCGGGGATGACGTGCCAGGGCGTCCAATGTATGTGACAGGACCGGCCTACCGGCAATATGCCGGTATTGTTTCGGCTGGGTGTTTTCAGGATCTGCCAGGCGTGCGCCACGCCCTGCCGCAACGACAAGAGCAGCAGCTGTTTTTTCCATATGCGATCTCCTTGAACCCGGTCCGGATAAAATCACTGACCGTCTTTAACGACGAACGTTGTCAATTCGCAAATTTTGACTTGTTGCGCTGCAGAAAATGTCTACAATATAGGCATATTGAAATTTGCACAGGTAATAAGCAGAAATGAGAGCCTTGTGCCGGAACCAATGAAAACTCTTACGATCGGTCAACACGTTTTGCCGAACCGTGCGGTTCTTGCGCCAATGTCGGGCGTGACGGATCTGCCATTTCGCAAGCTTGCCGCGCGGTATGGCGCCGGCATGGTCGTCAGTGAAATGGTGGCCAGCGAATCCTTTGTGAAAGGGGATGCCGAAACCCAGATGCGCGCCGAAGCCCAGAATGGCGGACTGCACGTTGTTCAGCTCGCCGGCCGGGAAGCCCGCTGGATGGGTGAGGCAGCCAAGGTCATCGCAGACATGGGTGCCGATGTGATCGACATCAATATGGGATGCCCCGCCAAAAAGGTGACCTCAGGTTATTCCGGGTCGGCGTTGATGCGAAACCTGGATCATGCGCTGACGCTCATTGAAGCGACAGTTGAAGCTGTCGATGTTCCGGTGACCGTAAAGATGCGGCTGGGTTGGGACGACAGGTCTCTCAACGCAGCTGAGCTGGCGCGACGCGCAGAGAACGCTGGTGTTCAGTTGATTACCGTCCACGGCCGGACACGTTGCCAATTCTACAAGGGGACGGCGGACTGGTGCGCAATCGGGGACGTTAAAAGGGCGATTTCGCTGCCATTGATTGCCAACGGCGACTGCAAGAGCATCGAGGACGCGGAAGCCATGCTCGAAGCCTCCAGCGCTGATGGTGTGATGATCGGACGGGGCGCTTATGGCCGTCCTTGGCTTCCGGGGCATGTCGGGCATTATCTCGCGACAGGAGAAAAGCTTTCTCCGCCTTCGGGGCACGAGCTCGCAGATCTCGTCTCGGAACACTACGAGTCAATTCTTGGTCACTACGGACAGTTCGCAGGTGTGCGCATCGCCCGCAAACACCTGGGCTGGTATCTCGACGAGGCGTGTTTGCTTGGAGGAGATCAGATGCCTGGAGCGGAACGGAGGGCTCTCATGACCTCGAACCAGCCATCAGAAATTTTGCGCCTTGCATCAGATTGGTTCTCTGCTTCAAAAGATCGGGTAGCTGCGTGAGTGAAATGACATCCGAGAGCGCCAGAGCGGCCTTGCTCGCAAGTGACGGACCTACCATTTTGGATGCGCTGCCGCACCCGGTCCTGCTTGTCGCCCCTGACGGTGTGATCGAATCCGCCAATATGGCAGCCGAGATATTCATGCGGTCGAGCGCGTCCTTTCTCCGGCGCCATCCCATCAGTGAATTTGTCCCCTTCGGCAGTCCCCTGCTGACGTTGATCGATCAGGTTCGTGAAAGGGCTGCTCCGGTCAACGAGTACAAGGTGGATATCGGTTCGCCCCGCATCGGCGCACCCAAGATTGTCGACATCAACGCAGCCCCGGTCGCCGATCGTCCCGGCGCGGTCGTGTTGATGTTTCAAGAACGCACAATGGCTGAAAAAATCGATCGGCAACTGACTTCGAGAGGCGCAGCGAGAACCGTAACGAGCCTTGCCGCGATGCTGGCGCACGAGATCAAGAATCCCTTGTCGGGAATCAGAGGTGCGGCCCAATTGCTCGAGCAATCTGTTGTAGATGACGACAGATCCCTGACACGGCTCATCATGGACGAAACAGACCGTATCGTAAGACTGGTCGACCGCATGGAGGTCTTTTCCGATGAGCGGCCTATCGAACGGGACCCGGTCAACATTCACGTCGTCCTGGATCGCGTAAAAAGCCTCTCCGACAAAGGGTTTGCGCGCGACAAGCGAATTGTTGAAATCTATGACCCGTCTCTGCCGCCGGTCTATGCGAACAAGGACCAGCTCATCCAGGTTTTTCTGAATCTGGTCAAGAATGCCAGTGAGGCAATCGGCGATGACCCGGATGGAGAAATCCGGATTTCAACGGCCTTTCGTCCAGGCGTCAGGCTGTCTGTGCCCGGCACCGAGGCCCGCGTGAGCCTGCCGCTGGAGTTTTGCGTGCAGGACAATGGTCCCGGCGTTCCTGACGATCTACTGCCGCACCTTTTCGAACCCTTCATCACGACCAAGACAAACGGGTCCGGACTGGGCCTCGCACTGGTTGCCAAGATCATTGGGGATCACGGCGGCGTCATCGAGTGCGACAGCCAGCGCGAAAGAACCGTTTTCCGCATCCTGATGCCGGCTTTCACCGAAGGTGGAAATCCGGTTTCCGATCTGAATAGCCGAGGAATTGAATGACAATGCCGACGGGTACAATCCTTGTTGCAGATGACGACGCTGCCATTCGCACCGTTCTCAATCAAGCGCTGTCCAGGGCGGGATATACGGTTCGCCTGACCTCGAACGCCTCGACGCTCTGGCGTTGGATCTCGTCCGGTGACGGGGATCTGGTGATTACCGACGTCGTGATGCCGGATGAAAACATCTTTGATGTCCTGCCACGCATGAAAAAAATGCGGCCCGAGTTGCCTGTGCTGGTGATGAGTGCCCAGAACACCTTCATGACGGCAATCAAGGCGTCCGAAAAAGGTGCTTATGAGTACCTGCCAAAGCCCTTTGATCTGAAAGAGCTCACGAACATCGTCCAGAGGGCCATGGAGGAGCCCAAGAAACGGCCGGCGCTTGACATGGACGATGCAGGTGAGGGTATGCCGCTCGTGGGCAGATCGCCAGCGATGCAGGAGATCTATCGCGTCCTGGCGCGCCTTATGCAAACCGACCTGACAGTGATGATCAATGGGGAGTCTGGAACCGGCAAGGAACTCGTGGCACGCGCGCTCCATGACTATGGCAAGCGGCGAAACGGTCCGTTCGTGGCAATCAACATGGCCGCAATACCTCGTGACCTGATCGAGGCTGAATTGTTCGGGCACGAGAAGGGAGCGTTTACCGGCGCTCAGAACCGCAGTTCGGGCCGCTTTGAGCAGGCAGACGGTGGTACTTTGTTCCTCGATGAAATCGGCGACATGCCGATGGAGGCACAGACTAGGCTTCTGCGCGTCTTGCAACAGGGCGAGTACACGACCGTTGGCGGGCGTACACCGATCAAAACCGATGTTCGCATTGTTGCGGCGACGAACAAGGACCTCAGGCACCTGATCAATCAGGGCCTGTTTCGGGAAGACCTGTATTTCAGGTTGAATGTGGTTCCAATCCGACTGCCTCCGCTGCGCGAACGGGTTGAGGACATCCCGGATCTGGCGCGCCATTTTTTCTCCCTCGTGGAAAAGGAAGGCCTGCAGGCCAAACAGATAGATCAGGGCGCGCTGAACATGCTTCGGCGCTACCGTTGGCCGGGAAACGTGCGAGAACTGGAAAACCTCGTCCGCCGTCTCGCAGCGCTCTACCCGCAGGATGTTATCAGTGAAAGCCTTCTGGAGCAGGAACTCAGCCAGCAGGAAACTGCGACGGCAACAGAGGAAGTCACCGAGACAATCAATTTGGGAGGAGCCGTCGAGAGATATCTTTCCGGATACTTTGATACCTTTGGGGAGGCACTTCCACCTCCGGGGCTTTACCACCGCATTTTACGGGAAGTCGAATATCCATTGATCAGTGCAGCACTGGCCGCGACCCGGGGTAATCAGATCAAGGCGGCAGAGCTCCTGGGTGTCAATCGAAATACCTTGCGGAAAAAGATCAGGGATCTGGACATTCAGGTTCTGCGTTCGGCTCGATAAGCGGAACTTTCCACCAGGTTTCATGCACGCGGCTCTATTCCGTCTTCAGCTCGTGGGAGCGGCAGGGAGGGGTGTTCCATACCGAATCCCGAGGCAATCTCACGACATGTTGTAGTCGCACAAGGCAAATTCGGTTACGAAATAAAGCTGAATCTGTCCGATTTTTCAGGCGTTTGATTAGAATACACCGCTCGTCCACCGCAAAATTCCGGGCGTGGGACAAGTCTGTCGTAATTTCGCAACATTGTGTGATAAGTTTGCAGCAAATATTCGTTCGAGCCGCATTCATTCAGCGGCCAGAGATGTTCTAGAGGCTGCATGATACTGGAAACAGTTCAGCAATCCGTCGTGCAATCAAGTGCTTCGGGCAAGCTTTGGCGACGAGCCGGTCTTGCGGTGATGGTGGTCGCGCTGATCTCCATTGCGGTGACATTTGTCATCCTGATGGGGCTGACCTCGGTCGATCCGACACGAAATGTCATTATGACGGCGATGGCGATCAACGGTGCTCTTGCCGTTGTGCTTCTGGGCGTGGTCTCCGTCGAAATTGTGAAGCTCTGGCAGGCGCGAAGGCGAGGGCGCGCGGCAGCGCGGCTTCATGTTCGTGTGGTTGCCCTCTTCAGCCTGGTTGCAGCGGTGCCAGCTGTGATGATGGCAATCCTGGCAGCGGTTACGCTCGACAGGGGGCTTGATCGCTGGTTTGAGGATCGTACGCGGCAAATCATCGACAATGCCCTGACGGTTGCGCAGGCCTATCTACAGGAGCACGCCAGAGTGCTTCGTGGCGATCTGATCGCAATGACGAAGGATATCGATCGCGCCAAGGCGATTTACGAATTCGAGCCGACACGCTTTGACCAGTTCTTTGCGACACAAGTATCGCTTCGCGGGATCCTTGGCGCGATGATACTGGACGGAAAGGGTGATGTCGTGACACGGGTCATACTTGATCCAAACGCCAAGATCCCGTTGCCACCGGCCGACAGTTTCTTCAAGGCAAAGTCGGGGGATCCCATCCTCATTGCGCCCGGCAAGTCCAATCTTGTCGGCGGGGTCATGAAGCTGTCCGCGTATGACGACTTTTATCTTTATGCGGTGCGCGTGATTGATCCTCGGGTGGTGGAATATCTGCGTCTTGCCGAAACGGGGGCATCGCAGTACCAGCAGATGGAGAGCAGCCGGTTCGGCGTGCAGGTTGCCTTTGCCCTGGTTTATCTGGGCGTGGCCCTGATATTGCTCCTGTCGGCGATCTGGATCGGTTTCGGTTTCGCAAATCGTCTGGTCTCTCCGATCAGGGTTCTGATTTCTGCTGCCGATGAAGTTTCCAAAGGCAACCTTGCGGTAAAGGTACAGACCGACAAATCCGGTGGTGACCTGACCAACCTCGGCCAGACATTCAACAAGATGACAGGCCAATTGCTTGGACAACGTGATGCCCTGCTTGCGGCAAACGAGCAGATTGATCGAAGGCGCAGGTTCAATGAAGCTGTCCTGTCAGGTGTTTCGACGGGCGTCATCGGTGTTGATGACGAAGCCTCGATCATGCTGATCAACAGGTCAGCCCTGGAACTCTTGCAACTTGACGAAGTTCAGATCCTCAACAAACCTCTGACGGAGGTGGTTCCCGAACTTGCTGAATGCATCGGCAGTGTTCTTGAAAACAACAGCGAAAAACTGCCGGAAACCCAGATCGAAATAACAAGGGGCGGGCGACTCAGAACGGTCAGCGTTCGCATCACAAGCGAACAATCCACCCGAAGGGAGCATGGGTTCGTCGTGACGCTGGACGACATCACCAATCTGGTATCGGCACAGCGCAATTCGGCATGGGCGGATGTTGCGAGACGTATTGCCCACGAAATCAAAAATCCGTTGACCCCGATCCAATTGTCGGCGGAACGCATTCGCAGGCGTTACGGCAAGCGGATCGAAGAAGATCGCGAAGTCTTCGATCAGTGTATCGATACGATTGTCCGGCAAGTCGGCGACATCGGTCAGATGGTGGACGAGTTTTCGTCCTTTGCGCGAATGCGGAAACCTAACAAGGTTTCCGGCGATCTTCGAGAAGCCGTACGCGATGCTGCGTTCATGCAATCAGTCGCCAATCCGGAGATATCGGTTACGGCAGATGTTCCAGGCGATCCGGTCAAGGCGGTTTTCGACCCGCGTCTCATCGGTCAGGCACTGACGAATGTCGTCAAGAATGCGACGGAGGCCGTCGCTGCACGCTCTGGCGAGGATGCACCGAAAGGTGAGGTTTCCGTTCATCTGCGCGGTGAAACGGATAACAATTCTGGTCGTATTGTCATTGATGTGATCGACAATGGCGTCGGTTTACCTGAAGAAAACAGAAGCCGACTGCTAGAACCATACATGACGACCCGCGAGAAGGGCACGGGCCTCGGTCTTGCGATTGTCCGCAAAATTCTGGAAGACCACGGTGGTGGCGTCGAATTGCTCGATGCCCCCAAATCAACCCCCGATGAAACAGGCACTCTGGTGCGTTTGACGCTGGCAGCTGATGCTGCGTCCGCATCGGAAAGCGAAGAACAAGATCAAGCAGTGGCAGCACATGGCGCATGATATTCTGGTCGTAGACGACGAAACCGATATTCGTGAAATGATCGCGGGTATTCTCGATGATGACGGGTACGGCACAAGGACCGCACGTGATTCCGACAGTGCGCTTGCCGCGGTCAAGGAACGCAAGCCGTCGCTTGTCATCCTGGACATCTGGTTACAAGGAAGCCGTCTTGACGGACTTGCCCTCCTGGATGTTTTCAAGGAAACAGACCCCGATCTTCCGGTCGTGATCATTTCGGGTCACGGCAATATCGAAACCGCTGTTTCGGCGATCAAGCGTGGTGCCTACGACTACATTGAAAAACCGTTCAAGGCGGACCGTCTCGTCCACATTGTCGAACGCGCACTTGAAGCGTCCAGCCTGAAGCGGGAGATCCGGGATCTCAAGCAACGCAGTGGCGAGACTAGCGATATCATCGGCAGCTCGTCAGCGGCGCACAACCTGCGCCAGACGATTCAGAAAATAGCCGGAACGAACAGCCGCATCCTGATTGTCGGTCCTTCCGGCGCGGGAAAAGAACGCGCCGCGCGGATGATCCACGATCAGTCGCTTCGCACGAAGAGCCCGTTCGTGGTGTTGAACGCGGCAACAATTACGCCGGCGCGGATGGAAGAAGAGCTGTTCGGAATCGAGGACGAAAACGGCAATCTGAGGAAAATCGGCGCGCTGGAAGAAGCGCATGGCGGAACGCTCTATCTTGATGAAGTTGCCGACATGCCTGCCGAGACACAGGGCAAGATCCTGCGCGTTCTGGTCGAGCAGAGTTTTGCGCGTGTCGGTGGGACGCAAAAGGTTCAGGTCGACATCCGGATCCTGTCGTCCACCTCAAAAAATCTTGAAGAACACATCACGTCTGGATTGTTCCGGCAGGATCTTTATCACCGTCTTAGCGTCGTTCCGCTGCGCGTGCCGGGACTTGCTGAACGCAGGGAGGATATTCCGGTTCTCGTCCACCATTTCATGGAACAGATTTCCGGAGCTTCCGGCATACCTCTGCGTCCGATCGGAGACGATGCCATGGCTGTCTTGCAGACCCATGACTGGCCGGGGAACGTGCGTCAGTTGCGCAACAACGTCGAGCGACTCATGATTTTGAGCCGAGGAGAACCTGACAGCACGATCACTGCTGATCTGCTTCCGTCGGAAATCGGTGAAACCCTGCCCAACCTGCCGACGTCAGGAACCGGCGAACACCTGATGTCCGTCCCTTTGAGAGAAGCACGAGAGATTTTCGAGCGCGAATACCTTCAGGCGCAGATCAAGAGATTTGACGGGAACATCTCGCGCACCGCGGAATTTGTCGGTATGGAACGCTCTGCGCTGCACCGCAAACTGAAAACACTCGGAATGACCTGAGAGCGGTGAAGCCTGGTCGTGGAAGTCCATAGCGGAAAAGGGGTCTCCCCATGAAAATCGTCATTTGCGGCGCCGGTCAGGTCGGTTACGGCATCGCAGAACGTCTCGCTGCAGAGCAGAACGATGTCTCCGTGATCGATTCCTCGCCGCAGCTGATCAATGCCATAGGTGATCAACTCGATGTGCGCGGCTTTGTCGGGCACGGCGCTCATCCCGATATTCTGGCGCAAGCTGGCGCGGAAGAAGCGGACATGATCGTGGCGGTCACGCTCTATGACGAAGTGAACATGGTGGCCTGTCAAGTGGCCCATTCCCTGTTCAATGTGCCGACAAAGGTCGCGCGCATTCGCGCGCAGTCCTATCTTCAGGGGCGCTGGCGCAATCTCTTTTCGCGCGATCACATGCCGATCGACGTTATCATTTCGCCAGAAATCGAGGTTGGGGAAATGGTCTTGAGGCGCTTGGCATTACCAGGTGCAGTCGAAACCGTGCGATTTGCGGACGATCAGGTCGTTGTGGTCGGGATCATGTGTGAAGAGGATTGCCCGGTTGTTGATACACCGCTGCGCCAGCTGACCGAACTGTTTCCGGACCTTGGTGCAGTCGTCGTCGGGCTTTACCGCAACCATCGTCTTTTTGTACCAAAAAGCAGCGATTCCATTCTGACCGGTGATCTTGCCTATGTTGTCGCCCGGCGTGATCAGGTGCGGAGAACGCTGAGCATATTCGGTCATGAGGAGCCAGAAGCCGCAAAGGTTGTAATCGCCGGCGGAGGCAATATCGGCCTTTACGTGGCCAAGGCTCTCGAACAGCGCCAGAGTGGAACAAAAATCAAGCTGATCGAGTCGTCACGAGAACGGGCAATGTCTGTTGCCGATGAATTGAAACGGTCCGTCATTCTCCACGGTAGCGCCTTGGATCAGATCATCCTGAACGAAGCCGATGCCGGTGACGCCGATACGATGGTCGCGCTCACAAACGAGGACGAAGTCAATATTCTTTCGTCAGTCATGGCCAAGAAACTTGGTTGCCGCCGGACGCTGTCGCTGCTGAACAGTCCCAGCTATCCGGCATTTGCCAATGCACTCGGCATCGATGCCTTCATAAATCCGCGCGCCGTGACGATTTCCAGGATCCTGCAGCACGTCCGCAGGGGGCGGATCAGAGGCGTTCATTCTCTGCAAAATGGTGCAGCCGAGATTGTAGAGGCCGAAGCGCTCGATACTTCTCCTCTGGTCGGAAAACCGTTGCGCGTCATCGACTTGCCTTCCGGGATCAGGGTTGGAGCGGTTTTCCGGGGTGGAGAAGTGCTTACGCCCAATGGAGACCTGCAAATTCAGGCGCAGGACCGCATCGTTATCTTTGCGGTGGCGAACCGGGTCCGGCAGGTAGAACAAATGTTCCGCGTCAGTCTCGATTTCTTTTAGGCCGAATTGCCCGTTTTCTGTTCTTGCAATTACCCGACCGAACAGTCAAAACTGCGATCGGAGCCTTAAGGCCGTGTTGTTTTGTTTCGCTTGGAGGGGCCATGAGCCGGATCGCCTATGTAAATGGCCAGTATGTTCGGCATGCCGATGCAGCGGTGCACGTAGAGGATCGCGGTTATCAGTTTGCCGATGGCGTTTATGAGGTGTGTGAAGTCTGGCAGGGCAAGATCGTCGATATGCCCAGGCATCTCGACCGCTTGCACAGATCCCTGAACGAGCTCCGGATAGATTGGCCGATGGCCAGAAGTGCCGTCGAGTTTGTTATTAGGCAGGTCATTCGTCGCAATCGGGTTGTCAACGGGTTGGTCTACATACAGGTGACGCGAGGCGTTGCGAAAAGAGATCATTTTTTCCCTGCCGAAGACGTTGCACCATCAATCGTGGTAACAGCAAAGCCGACCAGTCCTGCGGCATCACAGGTGCAAGCCGACAAGGGAATCGCCGTCGTCAGCTATCCGGAAAATCGCTGGCCGCGGGTCGATATCAAGACTATCGCGCTCCTGCCGAATGTTCTGGCGAAGCAGCACGCAAAAGAAAACGGCGGCAAGGAAGCCTGGTACATAGATGCCGATGGTAATGTGACGGAAGGCGGTTCGACAAATGCCTGGATCGTCACGAAAGAAGGTGCACTGGTCACGCGTCCAGCCGAAAATGGCATCCTGCGCGGGATCACCCGCGCAGTCGTTCTTGATCTTGTCCAAAAAGAGGGGCTGACGTTTGACGAAAGGCCGTTTAGTCTGGCCGAGGCCTTCGAGGCCAAGGAAGCGTTCGTGACCGCAGCATCCACGCTTGTGATGCCTGTGACACGTATCGATGGCAAAATAATCGGAAATGGGCATCCGGGTTCGGTTGCAACCCGATTGCGTGAATTGTTCCATACTGCTACTGATTTGCAGACGGCATGATTCGATTAGCCTTGTCTGGCTGTATAAATGAGACACGAAAGAGTTGGGGCAGACGGCTCTTTCTGGTGGGCAAACTAAAAGCGGGCAGTTCGTCAAACCTTAGCGTTTGAAATTGAATAGCTTTTGAAGGTAAGCTGCCGATACGCCGGATGCTCGGCCGCATCCGGGGGTAAAACAGGATAAAAAGACTGATGGCTGAGCGCGCACAAAACCTCCAAGACACTTTTCTTAATCACGTTCGTAAACAAAAAACTCCCCTCACGATTTTCCTGATCAATGGTGTGAAATTGCAGGGAGTCGTGACCTGGTTCGATAATTTTTGCGTCCTTCTTCGGCGTGACGGACATTCTCAACTTGTCTATAAGCACGCAATTTCCACAATTATGCCAAATGGTCCTGTTCAACTGTTCGATCAGGCCGAGGAAAACGCTGAAAAGGCTGGCTGATTGAAACCGAAGTCTCGCGCAGACGATTTTTCTAAATCAAACGGTGCTGAAGAGCCGGGGCAAAAATCGCTTGGAATGAAAGATACAGGGGTGGACCGTCTGCCCCAACCCTTCCGTGCGATGATCATCGAGCCGGTTCTGCAGCTGCGTGGTGATGCCGGTCATCAGGACCTGCGCGGCAACAGAAGCCCGGAAGCGCGCCTGGATGAGGCAATCGGCCTGAGCGCAGCGATCAACCTCCAGATATTTCACGCAGGTGTTGTCAAGATAAACAATCCCAAACCGGGAACTCTTTTCGGCGACGGGAAAGTCTCGGAACTTGCGGGCATCGTTGCCAGTGAAGACCTGGATCTGGTCGTGATCGATCATCCGCTTTCTCCTGTTCAGCAACGGAACCTAGAGCGCCGGTTGAAGACAAAGGTCATTGACCGGACAGGGCTCATCCTGGAAATCTTTGGAGACAGGGCTCGGACCAAGGAAGGTCGTCTTCAGGTGGATCTTGCGCACCTGTCCTGGCAAAAAAGCCGGCTGGTCCGCTCGTGGACACACCTGGAACGTCAGCGGGGCGGCGCCGGTTTCATGGGTGGACCGGGGGAGACCCAGATCGAGGCCGACCGTCGTCAGATCCAGGACAGGATCATTGCGCTTCAAAAGCAGCTGGATGGCGTTCGTCGCACGCGGAACCTTCACAGGAGAAAACGCAAGAAAATTCCCCAGCCTGTCGTCGCGCTTGTGGGATATACGAATGCCGGCAAGTCGACGCTGTTCAACCGACTGACGGAATCGGATGTGTTTGCAAAGGATCTTCTGTTCGCAACGCTCGATCCTACCTTGCGCAAGGTAACCCTGCCGCATGGCAAAGAGGTTATCCTTTCCGATACCGTCGGCTTCATCTCCGATCTTCCGACGCATCTTGTGGCTGCGTTCCGGGCAACGCTCGAAGAAGTTCTCGAAGCGGATCTCATCCTGCATGTGCGGGATATTTCCCACTCCGACACTGAAGCGCAGGCCGAGGATGTAAAGAAGACGCTCAGTGACCTGGGTGTTGATGCCCTGACGGGCGCTCCCGTTATCGAGGTCTGGAACAAGATCGATTGTCTTGACGAAGCTTATCGGGAAAAACTGCTATCGGAAGCAGGGCAGGAAGGGCCGGTGGCCTTGTCGGCCCTTACCGGCGCCGGTATCGAGCAACTCGCAGGGAGGATAGATGCCTTTATCGCCAGGCATGACGATATCCTGAGTGTCAAACTGCCGGTCGTGGAAGGCGCATTGCTCGCCAAACTCTATCAGATGGCCGACGTGATGGAGCGTGTTGACGGGGAAGACTTCGTGACCGCCGAGGTTCGTGTTTCAGACAAGCAGCGCGGACCGTTTCGGGAATTGTTTTCCGACTATGTTTTTTCTGATGACGGCGACGATCAACCGAATTCATGACAAAGTCGGGTTTCGGTTGAGTTCGCCGAGACTATGGCAACAGCATAGACCTAGATCTTTCCGGAAATCGTTGAGAGTTCGTCTTGCCGGTTGCGTGTCACGACCAGACTCACGACCGCGGCAACGAGACTGGCGAGTGTGATAAAAATGATTGCCCAGACAGTTTCCTGCAGATGTGCCACGGCAGCCAGAGTTGCCGAAAGGCAAATCATCATGATCCGGACAAACGATCTTGCCACCGCAATGCCGTTCACGCGCTGATCCTTGGGTGCGATATCCATGTAGTAGAGGTTTAGCACAGTGATTATTCCCCTGACGGCAACTGTCACCGTGAAGAGTGCCGCAGCGTGGATCCTGACATCATGGTCGATGTCATAGATATACAGGATCGCGAGTGTCGCCCCGGAAACGGCCACCAACAGGGCGCTTGCGACCATGACAAGCCGGTGCGAGACATTGTTGAGTGCACCCCACAGCGGTCCTGCAACTATGTAACCCATCGCATAGGAAATTATCAAAGCCGTCAGTCCCTTGTTCGATGCGTGATGCGATTCCGCGGAGATGAGCGAGAAGAAGGGTACAGAGAGAACGACCATGGCAAAGATCAATCTCAAGGCAATGAATTTTCTGAACCAGCCGTGCCGCATCATTGTGACTGTGTTGGAAATGTAGTTTGAAAGCGCCTCAATCGGGGACCGGGTTGCTGGTTCTCTCATTGAAACACTGGCAGAAAAATCCCTGACAGCCAGCACAGCGCATGCCGAGAGCGTGAAACATGTGACCCCGATTGCGACAACGATCGAGTGCCGGTGAAGTGGCGGCAAGTCGAGTGTCAATTCATGCGCAAGCCAGGTGAGTGCGACCGCGATGCCGCCGCCCAGCGCCATTTGTGCATATTTCAGTGTCATCCTTGAGCGTGAATTCAGGTTGTCGCTGATGAAATCAGTCTGCAGCAGTTGCTGAAATTCATCGACCATCCCCATCACGAATACACAGGCAATGAAGACAAGCATTGTCTGCAATTTGTCACCGAACAGGACGGCGACAATCGTCGCACCGAAACACACAGCCAGCGTCATGTCGGACAATGACAGGGCGCGTTTCCGATTTCTGATCCTGGCGATTGCGTCAAAGAAAAAGATGTCTGTCAGCGAGCTTGCCGCCTGGCGAATGGAAACCAGGGCGCCCACGAGAAAGATGGGCATGTCCAAGGACACGGCGAGAAATGTCAGGACGATTGAAGGGCTGGCCATCATCCATGCAGCCTGAGCCAGAGTGCTCTGACCGGTCAGCAGTGGAAGGTTTCTTCGTTCCTTGGAGGCCGTTTTCTTGTTCATTGTCTAGCCTGTTCAATGCTGGAAAACCTGAGTACCAATTTCTGGCTCTAGACGAAAGTGTCCAGGCCATCTGTGGCGTCAACTGCTGGAAATGAACTTGAAATTGCCGGAGGGGCTGCAAACGGGATCTGCCGCGTTGGAGCAAATATTCAGAGACACGCGGCTGGATTCGAGGCCTGCAAAGTCAGGACACGGAAATGAAGTTACCTGGCTTCAGCGCCGGAAGGGGGAGTGTCCGACAAACAGCAAACGACCTTTGGCCCGGTGTCTTTTTCAATTAACTCATTCAGCAGGTCAAGACGTTCCTCGTAGCCCGAGGACCGGTGGATCGCGAGCGACAAAGGCTGTATTTGCAGTATTCCGGTACTTTTATCTATTCCGTTCAGCGACAGCTTGTCGGCCAGATGCAGGATGACTTCCGGGTCGGTCAGGGCGGCATCGATGCGGCCTGCTGCCAGGATACGGGCGAGGTCTTCCTCGTTTTCAGTACCGTCTTCAGGCTGATAGTGCTGATAGATCAGCCGCTGCAAATCCGCCGGATAAACATGGTTGCGGACAAACCCGATCCTGTATTTCGCAAAAAGGTCTTCAACGGTTGTCCAGGAAAGTGTTGATTCAACTCTTTTGACGATACCAACCCTTGAAAATGCAACGGTTTTCGTCGAAACAAAACCCACACCAACCTCCGAAGGCCAAGCTGGAAAGTACCCGACAAAGTCCTCAGAAGCGGAGATTGTTCGTGCCCTGGTCCAGGGCACGAATTCCACCTCGAGTGATATTCCTGCCCGGGCGAGGAGACTGCGAAGCCGGGAGATCGC